AAAAAAAAAAAAAAAAAAAACACATCTTAGTAAAACCAATACCTTCTCAGCTTCGCATCGAAGCTAAAAACACATAGATAATTCAATATTCGCAATATCGAATTAAAATTTTAGACTTAACCTTATTATAACTTAAAGTTCACATAAAAAATGTAATTTAGAAATTCTAAATTTTAATGACTTTCTTAATATTGCGCTTTTTTGTGAAAATTGGCGTTTTTGATTTTACTTAAAACTATTTAGAAGTTTTTATTTTATAGTGATTTTCAAATGTGGTATTGTATAGTGTATCAACCAAATTTCAAATATTTAAAACAATTTTCTTGGAATTTAACTGCGAAGTTAGACAATTTATAAAAATACACGTATTCTAGGTGCATTATTTCTTTTGAGGGACCTAATGTCAAAAATTTTTTAGCTATGTATTTGCTTAATACACCATAAAAATTTGAAGTTTGAGAAAAAAGTGTAACATGTAAAATTTAGCATTAGAAAATCAGTAAAAATCCGCTCAAAATTAAATAATTTAATGATAGTTTTTTGTTGTTTCAAACCACATTTTTGTAATTGTTTTATATATTATTGTATATGTAATATATTACGATTCAATACAATTATTATATATTATAATTGTTGAAGAAAGAAGAGGTAGAGGAAGACCAAAAAAGAGATGGATGGATGCTATTGAATGCGATATGATGTGGGAGATCGTGTCAAGTGGAAGTTTAGGATAAGGGTGGCCGACCCCAAGTAGTTGGGATTAAGGCGAGGAAGAAGAAGAAGACGATATATGTTATAATTATTCAATTCGTTATTTTAGTTGCAAAATGAAAAATTAATTAATTAAATTATTATCATAATAATGTAAAATTTTAATAAATAATCATGGTTTTATTCTAGTAGTTAGAATATTCTTTCTTAAGGCTTCTTTGGTACTGTTATAATTGGTAAAAATCTATATATAAATAAATAGAATAATATTTATAAATAATATATTAAATTAAATAGTGGAACGGTGTGGCTGAGTCGGTAACGCGGCAGTGCTTGACGCGCACTGCTTTGGGTTAGAAACTCGGTCACGGGCGGCTTCATTTGCCGAACGATAGATGAGTTCGGTAATTGGAGTCGCCATTCTACTCTCTGGCGACGGACTAACCACGTGTCCCGGAGTATAAATGGTTAAAGAAACCTCCTCCTAGGGGAGGTTACTATGGCCCTTAATGTACTAATAAAAGCAATAATAAAAAAAAAAAATGTTAAATAAAATAGTTATGATGATTACTTTCATATTCAAATCGATTTTGATTATTTGTGTATTTTTTGAGTAGCTCATTAGAGAACTCAGAAGAATTTTGATCTGCAAACAATGATGTATACGGCAAAATTTCTTTTGCTATTTCATTTGGAACAGTGCCGTTATTTTCTTCATCATAAGAACGAAAGTAATCATTAAATGCTGCTTCGTATATTTTATTCTGTTCAAATTCTTTTACAATATGTGATATCACTTCATTATCTAAGGTAATACCAACAATTTCTATTATTCAGAGCATAAAGTAATTTTATTTTGCTTTTTAACAAATCAAATAATAATTGTACTAAAAAATTCAAAATCTAATTTTTTAGTCATTTTGGAAAAAACGACTTAATTACAATTTTTTCTAATTTTATGCTAATTCATGAAAATAAAAAAATGTTTTAATAATTATAACATTTATAAAACGTATTATATTATAACTTGGCATCCCATTCAGATATTAACTATTTACAAGTTAAAACAAGTACTATTTCAAGATTTTTCAAAAGTTGCTTTTTTGGTTATTATTTTAAAGTATTTAACCCTTTATAATTTTTTGTAAAATGAATTAAATAAGTAACTATTTATGAGATATGGACAATTATAAGGTTCTATACATATATACTAAAGTATAATGATAAGTTGTTTTCTATACAGAACTTTTGTATTCAAAAGTTATTTAGAAACCAGTAGATTCGATATATATAATCACATATGATGACAGTTGTGCTAAAATAATGTAATAGTAATTTTACAGTGAAATTATAATTACAAATATTAAATCTTAATTATCTTATTCGGCAACTTTTGATTAATGTCAATATAATTGTATCACAACGAATTGTAATTATATTGTTTGGCCGCCGATCATTTGTAGCGCCACTTGCATACCACCGGTTCACGCGATCGAGTATTGTTACGCGTTGAGTGCGTACGGCGAGTCTGGTTTTGGCGCTTATGCTATTAAGAACGATCCTATGACGGACAGTGGAGCGCTTCAATTTGAGAGTCCACAGCTAAGTTCCGTGATCGCCAGTTCAATAGCAAAAAGGGAAAAAAAAAGAAATTTTGGATGCCCAACCACGGGTTCATGTTGTGAAGAACGTGTCTGGTCCTTGTATAAGGGTAAACGAAGTAACCAGCTTGCATATAAAGAATTTAAATATATAATTGTGCAGTAACGGTAGATTAATTTATGTAATATTCAATATTTAATATTACAAAATATTAAATATTGTGTTTAGTAATAATAAAATTTACATTTGTTCTGTCAAAGAGTATTGTCATTAAATTTTTAGTTCAATTTTTAGTCAAGTCGTGTCCATAATAGGCGAAGATACTGGGTGCCCCGACCAAGAGGTGTTTTCGAGTCGGTGGCATATCATAACATTGTAAATCCCTACTTTAAAGTACATTTATAAAATAAATTTTAGCTTCGATAAGAAGCTGAGAAGGTATTAATTTTACTACGATGTAGTTTTTCTTTACGTCTGTCGCTAATTTTTCTCAGCATTCACTAGACCGACTTTTCTCCGCAATATGTCAAAAGATTACAAATCGTATCTATTTGAAATATTAGATAATTTTCTTTTCATTTGATATTATTTTTTTAAAAATCTGAGACTTAACCACTCACAGAGGAAATTCAAAATGGCAACTTTTTTTACAAAAGTCAACTTTTTCAACTTAATTTTTGAAAGTGTTCCGGAATACTGACACTATTATATATAACTTAAACCTAAAGCATTTGTATTATAATTTCATATGAATAAAAAAAAACGGTAGCACAGTGGGGTCGAGGCACAGTGTGGACGAGGCATAGATGGGACAAGTATAGATGATATCTGACAGTGATTAAAATCACTATCATAAGAAACGCTTCGATGCAAATCTGTAGATAGTGTTTCCTTTAGAGAAATTGGTGAAATATTTTAAAAGCAACATGAACTCTTATTTCTTTAATTATATCCTGATTAGTAGTTCTTTGATTTTAAAATATAATATATGAATAAATACTAATTATAGTTTTTAAATTTAGTATGAAATTGTGAGGCCAGCTATGATGTATGGTTCATAGTGTTGGGCGGTTGATAAGAAAGTAGAGCAGAGAATAAGTGTAGCAGAGATGAGAATGCTTAGTTGGATGAGTGGAGTGACTAGAGAAGATAGGATAAGGAACGAGCATATAAGAGGAAGTATAGGTGTTGCGTCAATCGTGGATAAGATGACAGAAAATAGACTTAGATTGTTTAGTCATGGTATGAGGAAAGAAGAATCGAAAGCTGTAAGAACAGTTATAGAAATGAATGTTGAAGGAAGAAGAGATAGAGGAAGACCAAAAAAGAGATGGAGGGATGCTATTGAATGCGATTTGAGGACAGCTGATGTGAGCGTAGAAGATGTGGGAGATCGTGTCAAGTGGAAGCTTAGGATAATGGTGGCCGACCCCAAGTAGTTGGGATTAAGGCAAAGAAAAAGAAAAATATTACCAGATATTCCGGTGGCAATTGACATAATATGATTGTTATTTCGGAATGTACAATTTAGCGTTTAGTTGGGTTTAAATAATATAGCGTCAAATCAATTACCTACTCTATCGGTTGTATCTCAATATACACTACACTTTAATGATACAATAAATAAATAAACTCACACATACACACATATGCATTTATAACATTGTGTCTAATGTAAGTATAACATGATAAAAAGTAACCGTAAAATGAAAAAAATGGAATATAAATTTTATTACTCATATTAAATGTAATGTAACTCGAAAAATATTTGTTTAAATGAAAAAATATAAGATTATATTTTTATTTATAATTGTCTTTTAAACAACTTTTGTGCGAAACTTTTTTTTGTAAGTTAAATATTTTTTTTTGAGAAAATTAAGAAAGCTCATATTTTTGAACTTTTGCGAGGATTTAAAAAAAAAGCTCAATTCCAATCTTGAGGACTATTAGTATGTCATTATACATATTTTAATTCAACTTTTAAAAAAACAAAATTTTTTCCGCAATTTTTCCTTTGTTGACAGGCCTAGATGTCAATTTTAAACTTGTAATTGAGCTAAAAGTTATGGTAATATATTCAATTTATTTTACTATAAACTTTCATAAATCTTTATCAAAAATTTTTCATCAACTTTAAAGAACCAAAAAAATAGGTTAAAATTGAAAATTTGGACTGATTATTTTTAACATATTAAAAATCAAATCAGTAATAATTTGAAAACAAATTTTTTTTTCTTTTAATTATTATTTTATATATATAATTAGTAATAATATAAAAAATTAGAAGTGATAGAAATAGTCTACTTGCAGATTTGAAAACAACGCGAAAATTTGATTTAGAAAAGTATATTTTTGCTTCTGATGAAAGTTCCTTGTAGTCCAGTGCATTTTTTTATAGTAACAAACAGTTTTTATTGAAAATTATTGTATCAAGCCCTTTAAATTTTTATACACGTAAAAGTAAAGCAAAATATAACTTCTTTATTATTTTTATAATTTCTCCGTTTAAATTACAATATTAAATATCAATTTCATACTAAATTTAATAATTATAATTAGTATATATTCATATATTATATTTTAAAATCAAAGAACTACTAATCATGATATAATTAAAGAAATAAGAGTTGATGTTGCTTTTGGAATAATCCACCAATTGCCTAATTAAAACAAAAAAAAAAAAAGTTTGTTGGGAATTTTTTCTGCTATTCTGCAAAATTACTCCTTCGTTGACTAGAATGAATCATTAAATAGAAAATTTTATGAGAATTAAAACAATGTTATTTTTAAGATTAATATGCAGTCAGAAAGTTTTATAATTATTATTTATTGTAAATTTATCAGAAAAACTCATTATTTTTTGCATTTTTATCGTAATAGAACACTTAAATAGAAATCATAGTAATCATTTCTAAGTAATTTTTGATATTTAAAAAGATTCTACTATTGAAATATCCAGAACTGAATTAATTTTAATGATTTACTTTAACTAAAAAAAAAAAAGTTAATATTTTGAATCCCTCTTGTGGGCAGGTAAAGGGTTAGATTTATAAAAAAAACCAAATGATAGATAAAGACATGCATCTAAATAAAAAAAAATATACTGATTTGGTCATTTTTGATAAAGTTATAACAATTAACAAAGTTATAAGTTTTATACACTGGACTACAAGGAACTTCCATCAGAAACAAAAATATACTATTCTAAATCAACTTTTCGCGATGTTTTAAAATGTGCAATTAGACTTTTTCTATAACTTCTAAGTTTTAATATTATTAAAAAATAGTTTTTACATATAAAAAAAAATAATTAAGAACAAAAAAAATTGTTTTAAATTAATACTGATTTGATATAATATTTAATATTAATTTGATTATTAATAAGTTAAAAATAAGGAAAATGACATATTTAACCTATTTTGTTAATCGTTTAAAGTTGATTGTTGTAAATGTTTATAATAAAAAAAAAAAATTTATTTTACCATAACTTTTAGCTCAATTGGTAAGTTTGACATTGACATAATTAAATAGAAAATTTTATGACAATTAAAAAAATTGTATCGTTAAGATCAATATGCAGTCAGAAAGTTTTATAATTATTATTTACAGTATATTTATCAGAAAAACTCATAATTTTTTTGCATTTTTATCGTAATAGAACACTTAAATAGAAATCATAATAATCATTTCTAAGTAATTTTTGATATTTAAAAAGATTCTACTANACCATTTCTAAGTAATTTTTGGTATTTAAAAAGATTCTACAATTGAAATATCCAGAACTGAATTAATTTTAATGATTTACTTTAACTAAAAAAAAAAAAGTTAATATTTTGAATCCCTCTTGTGGGCAGGTAAAGGGTTAGATTTATAAAAAAAACCAAATGATAGATAAAGACATGCATCTAAATAAAAAAAAATATACTGATTTGGTCATTTTTGATAAAGTTATAACAATTAACAAAGTTATAAGTTTTATACACTGGACTACAAGGAACTTCCATCAGAAACAAAAATATACTATTCTAAATCAACTTTTCGCGATGTTTTAAAATGTGCAATTAGACTTTTTCTATAACTTCTAAGTTTTAATATTATTAAAAAATAGTTTTTACATATAAAAAAAAATAATTAAGAACAAAAAAAATTGTTTTAAATTAATACTGATTTGATATAATATTTAATATTAATTTGATTATTAAT